ACTCATGTGGAAATGGCTTTAGCTTCTTAGTACTGTGCTTTAACCCACTGCACCACCAGGGAGGGCCCTAAGTATACTTTTAATTAGTCTACATATTCTGCCATGGCATGATATTTAAAAAATTAATAACATTTCATTTTTAAAATATATATTTATTTATGCATACAGAACTGGGATACAGGACAGAGGTGCAGGGCGGTAAGAGGATTCACCAGAGACAGAGTTGGGAGCAGAACAGGCAGATCGACAAAGGACACTGCTAAGGGAAGCAGCGGGCAGGTCAGGAGAGGTCTGCCGTGCCATACGGATCAGCTCTGGGGCTGGGGATCAAACTTGCACTGAAAGGCTGCAGCTAGCTTGCAGTACTGCACTTTAACCCATAAAATTAATAACATTTCTTTTTTTAAAAAAAGATTTAGGCCCTCCCTGGTGGCGCAGCGGGTTAAAGCACTGCACTAAGAAGCTGAAGCCACTTCCGCATGAGTTCGATTCCCGCCTGCCTGGGAGGAGATCCACATGGCGTGGCAGACCTCTCCTGACCCGCCCACTGCTCCCCTCAGCAGTGTACTTCGTCTATTTGCCTGTTCTGCTCCCCACTCTGTCTCTGGTGAATCCTCTCACCTTCCGCATCTCTGGCCTGTACCCCAGCTCTGTATAAATAAATAAATAAATCTTTAAAAAAAAAAAAAAAAGATTTATTCATTTATGTATACAGAACTGGGGTACAGGTCAGAGGTGCAGGGCGGTGAGAGGATTCAGCAGAGACACAGTGGGGAGCAGAGCAGGCAGATTGACCAAGCACACTGCTGAGAGGAGCAGTGGGTGGGTCAGGAGAGGTCTGCTGTGCCATATGGGTCACCCCCGGGGTAGGGATCAAACTTGCACTGAAAGGCTGCAGCTAGCTTGCAATGCTGTACTTTAACCCGCTGAGCCATCAGAGAGGTCCCAACATTTCTTTTTAAAGTAGTGCTAGGTTCACAGAGAAAAATGCAGAGAGTCCTACACAGTCCCTGTCCGACACTCACAGCTCTCCCCCACGAATGGCACCCTGCAGCAGACTGACATACTAGCTACAATGGGTGAATCGACACTGACATCATCATCACCGAAAGTCAACAGTTTACATTAGGGTTCGCTTTTGGCAGTGGATGTTCTATGGGTTTGGACAAATGTATAAAGACATTTAGCTATTTGCAAGCTTCTTTTGAATTCCGAATCCAGTCCTTGGGCTTACTGCCCACTTCCAGGTCCGTTCCCTTGCTAGCCCCCCCTTGACAGTACACTAGGATTGCCTTTATCTGAAGATGTGCTGCCTGATGTCCTTACCTTTCTTTTCGCCAGTGAAGGGCACAAAGTCTTCCCTGTCTTTCTGTTCCAAAGCCTCCTTCTCCAGGTACATGAGGAGGTGCTCACGGTCAAAAGGGCCAGTGGTTGCTTTCTGAGTCTGGTCTTTCTGCCGGAAACCAGCTGGCAGCAGAGCGCTCTGAAAAGACAGGGAGGTGAGCGGCAAGAAGGGTGTCTGCGCAGTGGGCACTTTGCTGACCCCCCTGGCTGTACCTGGGAGAGGCAGAGAGAAGAACACCTGTGCAGAGAACGGAGTGAGCTGAAGCCGCCAGCATAGCTGCGAGGCCCCACTTGCTTTCACATCCCATGTTGAGAGAGCAGAAAAAACATACACAGCTAGAGCAACCTCTGAGTCTTCTGAAGCTACCTTCTAGAATGAGGTAGCAAATGGCCAGCCACTATTCATGGCCTTTTCCCTCACAGATCCCACTTAGGAGGTACTCAAGGTGACCCCAGAAGGCAAGTGGAGAGTCAAGATGTTTCAGCTATATGGTTATGCTCTCTATTTTTAACCCATCTCTTAGGGAAATATCCAAGCACGTGAGTGACTATTGTGGTAAATGTTGATACCAGCTTGACTAAACTTCAGAGATGGTTGTCTGACATTTTTTAAAAATAAAAATGGGAAGATGTGGTTCATATATACAATGGAATATTACTAGCAATCAAAAAAGATAAATTCATGCTATTTGTGGCAACATGGATGGAGCTGGAAAGGATTATGCTCAGTGAAATAAGCCAGAAAGAAAAGGAAAAATACCGGATGGTTTCACTTTTAGAAGGAATGTAAGGAATCAGGAAAAAATAATTATAGTAAAGTAAAAATCTAAATCAACTGATAACTTTAAACCAGAATACCAATATTTATAACCCAATATCCAAAGTATCTGGCACACTAGAAAATTTCCAGTGGCATTTTTATTTATAGTAAATTCACTATTTTGGATGCTTCTGATTCTAAAGTAAATACCCTCCAAGCTGAAGAAATTGCTTACCAATCAAACACTATAACAAGCTATTTTTTTCAAGAGCTTATGACATCTGTTGCTGATCTCTCTTTCCAACCTTTTTCTCTAAATCAGACTGGTCTTTCCTCAACTGATGAAAACTATTTGTCTACATTTATTTTTAAATTTTATTATTTTTACATTCAAAAGAGCAGGCTTATTATAAGAAGGGAGTCAAGGAAGCTTGCACAGACACAGTGGGCAGAAAGAGCTGCCCCCGACAGGGACACAGGCTAGTTAACAGAGAGGCCTGCATCACAGGCGGGCATGAGAGCTGCTGCATTGTCCCCACTTACATGAAACTGACACACCGTTTGCCATATCCTATTATAGATGTGGCCATTGAAGTTCTTCATGAATTTAAAATGCAAGTGAGTCCGAACCAATCAGGGAAGGAACACAGAATCTGTGTTTGCAGCTAAAGGACTTCGCCGCCATTGTTTAAGGTTCAAGTGCGCCATTTATCCGGTGCTGTCATTGACCTCTCTGCTGCAGGTCCAGGTCACTCACCTCAGGATCTAGGTCATCAAGAACATTTTCCAACTGTTTCAGTTCCTCTTCTGAGAGTTTGCCAAGAAGCTCATCTTCATCAATGTTCTTGTATTTCTCCAGCTCTTTTTGAAAAGGAAGTGCCATGGCTTCTTATCTGCCTCTTTCATGGACCACCAACATTTAAACAGTCCAGTTTCCCAAGATTTCAGAATACTACCAATAAAAAAGAAACACTGTTACTGCCTTTCTGTAAACGGGCTCATCGACAGGAGGCAGGGCTATGCTCTCAGCCAATGGAGTCTCTCTGCTGCGCAAGCGATTCAACAAACAGGCAATAAACACCTGCATTTGCCGAACCACCTGACTGCTTATAAAGTGCCTTCATATATATTACTTCACTTATTAAGATCTTTATGACCACCCTCAAAGGAAACCTGGGCGTATACTAATGTCCCATTTTACAGATGAAGATTCTGAGGTGAAGGTGGCAGCTAAGTGCCTTGCGTAGGCCTCAGAGTGGGGATGTGCCAGGCATCCTATTCTCAGTATAGTGAATGCCTTTCCACCATACTACTCTGCCTCCTCCAGCTTTCTACAGAAACAGTGAAGGACAATGCACTCATTGTAAGGCAGTTGTAAGAAGCACACTTGTGTCTTTTCAGAGAGTGATGTGAAGAATACAAAATGGGGTTCATTCAGAAAAGAGAGTGTGGAATGACATGTGAGAAAGCATTGTCCAGGAACTCCCCTGCAATTAAATTAAGTAAGATTCTCAAACCCTGGCTGCATAATCATTCTCTCCACTTTTCTCCTCTCTTCTTTCTCCAATTTTCATTCTCTTCCTAGTCTCATTTCCTTTTGTTTCTTTAGCCACTCTCCCTAATTCTTTATCCCTCTAGTCCTTTCTACTCTTGACCGAACTTTATAACACCACCTCACTCCTAAACTTCCATGCAAAATGAAGTCACTTCTTTCTTGCAGTGGATTTTACAGATTATCCCTAGAAGGATTATAATGTATTCAGGAAATAGTAATGTACTTAACCAGTTGTGCTTCTCTTTAGGGGATATTAACATTAATCAGATCTTCCAAGGCAATATTTGCTGTGTGCCTACTACCTGCCAGGTGTAGTTCTAGAAATACAGATACATATAACCCCTTCACTCCTCAGCAATACACGCAAATAGCAATAACATTACTAAGTCAGTGTTCTAACAGAAAACAAGATGTTTAAAGTGAGTTTAAAAGCAACATGAAGACATAATCATAGGATAAGGGAGAGTGAGGTTTGAGGGGAAAGAAAAACAGGTTTTTTGTGGCTTGAAGGAAGAGGTCACAGGTGACATGGGGGAGCAGGAAGGTTATCCTAGGAAAATGGTACCATGTAGGCAAAACCACAGAGAAGTGCTGGATGACCTGGTGAGGAGCTGTTGTGGCCAGAGAGGAGGATGGAAGGTCGGGTGGAAACGGAAGACAAGGAAGGACATCTGTGAATGGCCTTCCCTGTATGCCTTGTCCAGAGCCCTGGGCTTTATTCTGTTGAAGGTGCAGAGCCACCACACAGTTTTAAAGTAGAAGAATGATCTGAGAAGCCTTCTTGTTTGGTAGGGTAATTCAAATAGTAAGAATGAAGACTGGGTTGGCGTGGAGAGAAATTTGTTGTAGGCAGGCCATTTAAGGGCTATTAGAATGTTGCTTTCCTCTTCTCATGAATTCAACTGCTCACAATGGTCAAGTTGGTGGTTCTTCTATTTAGGTTTCTGTTACATGCAATGTAACTCTCTCAGCCACCTTCTCTTAAACTGCAGTTGTTATATTCCAGTTTAAAAAAAAATCCCAATAAAGTCATAGAACCAACTGGACTATACACACACACACACACACACACACACACACACACACTTTGTTCTGGGCTCAGGTAGCACTAACGAATAGTGTGATGTTGGACAAGCATCTCCATCTGCTAGGTCCTTAGCCATCATGTGAACTGGTTAAACTCTCACCCATAATGGAGTCGATCATCTACCATTTCCCACATTATTATGACTATGAAATAAGTTTTACAACTGATAGTCTACAATTACTGCTAGCTGAGCAGCAGGCAAGATGTACTTGTCACTGTCTACATATGCACACATATTAAAAGCACCAGCTTCAAAGCAAACAGAATGGACATCAAGATAAAATCCCAAGGGCTTCTAAAACCTAGGTGGAAGGACATGGTGACCCAAGTGTGTTTAGCAAGACATCCACAGGAAGGTCCGGATTAGGCTAGTTCCACATAATGAGTGAGTTTAAGAGCCTGGCATCAATGGCATTTCATTTTTTTACAAATTCAAAAAAAAATTAGTTAATAATTGACAACTCTTATAGAAAGCAACCAACTACAGGCCCCAAAACTGCAGCAAATAGTATTGTTAGGCGTAGCTAACAGACATTAGAACTGGAACTCTTCTCTGAAACCCTGCCCCACCCCCAGCTCACAGCTGAACTATGCTTCCACACTCTCCTGCAGAGCTCACCATAGCTCAGCCCACATTGCCATCAGTCAGCTTAGCGCCACGACCACATTTACATACCCGTAAAAGAAGAGAACACACGCTCTTCCACAGATTTTTTAAAAAGATATAAAAAATATTACCCCTGTGGGGAAAGAACAGATATTGATGACTATGAGTCAAAAATTTTTCAAAAATTTGGACTCTGAACATGAAGGTTTTTTTTTTTTTTTTTTTTTCAGATTTATGCATACAGAACTGAGGTACAGGCCAGAGTTGCAGGGGCAGTGAGAAGATTCACCAGATAGGCAACAACTGAAAACAACCTGAATATTCATTAGCAGGTGAGTATAGCCATAGGAAAGTGTGTATAACCACATAATGGAATTATTTAGAAATAAAAATGAACTCGCGATACACAACTACACGGATAAACCTCAAAAGAATGATACCAAATGAAAGAAGCCAGGCTGAGAAGAATGTATACTGTAGAATTGCATTTATCTAGAATTATAGACAATGTAAACTGATCTATATGTACTTAGGGATGGGGATAAAGGTGGGCAGAAGGAGGTCTCTGCAGGGCCTGAGAAAACTTGGGGGGTTATGCATATGTTCACTCCCTTAATTGTGGCGATGCTTTCACAGGTACATGCATTTGTCAAACCTTATCAAACTATACACTCAAAATGTGAATTTTGTGGTGTCAATTAAAACATTTCAAAAAATGTATCTGTCAGCCTGAAAAAGTTCAATGAATAAAGTAAAATGATATTGTTAAGAATCGTGTGTTGGGTGGCGCAGTGGGTTAAAGCACTGCACTAAGAAGCTAAAGTCATTTCAGCCATGAGTTTGATCCCTTACCATGTAGGCAAAACCACAGAGAAGTGCTGGATGACCTGGTGAGGAGCTGTTGTGGCCAGAGAGGAGGATGGAAGGTCGGGTGGAAACCGAAGACAAGGAAGGACATCTGTGAATGGCCTTCCCTGTATGCCTTGTCCAGAGCCCTGGGCTTTATTCTGTTGAAGGTGCAGAGCCACCACACAG